AGTTGTTCTCCTGACTGAAGTTTGGTCCGTTTACAGCATCCTGCCATGCGATTGCATTTGTCTCTAACCATGAAGAACCTTCACGTTAACTTTTATAAGTGGAAAAGTGTTAGTGTTCGTCCTCCAGCTTCACTGTTTATGTTATGCTAACATACAGTGGGGCAAAAAAGGATTTAGTCAGCCACCGATTGTGCATGTTCCCCCACCTAAAATGATGACAGAGGTCAGTAATTTGCACCAGAGGTACACATCAACTGTGAGAGACAGAATGTGAAAAAAAAATCCATGAATCCACATGGTAGGATTTGTAAAGAATTTATTCGTAAATCAGGGTGGCAAATAAGTATTTGGTCAATAACAAAAATACAACTCAATACTTTGTAACATAACCTTTGTTGGCAATAACAGAGGTCAAACGTTTACTATAGGTCTTTACCAGGTTTGCACACACAGTAGCTGGTATTTTGGCCCATTCCTCCATGCAGATCTTCTCGAGAGCAGTGATGTTTTGGGGCTGTCGCCGAGCAACACGGACTTTCAACTCCCGCCACAGATTTTCTATGGGGTTGAGGTCTGGAGACTGGCTAGGCCACTCCAGGACTTTCAAATGCTTCTTACGGAGCCACTCCTTTGTTGCCCGGGCGGTGTGTTTTGGATCATTGTCATGTTGGAAGACCCAGCCTCGTTTCATCTTCAAAGTTCTCACTGATGGAAGGAGGTTTTGGCTCAAAATCTCACGATACATGGCCCCATTCATTCTGTCCTTAACACGGATCAGTCGTCCTGTCCCCTTGGCAGAAAAACAGCCCCATAGCATGATGTTTCCACCCCCATGCTTCACAGTAGGTATGGTGTTCTTGGGATGCAACTCAGTATTCTTCTTCCTCCAAACACGACGAGTTGAGTTTATACCAAAAAGTTCTACTTTGGTTTCATCTGACCACATGACATTCTCCCAATCCTCTGCTGTATCATCCATGTGCTCTCTGGCAAACTTCAGACGGGCCTGGACATGCACTGGCTTCAGCAGCGGAACACGTCTGGCACTGCGGGATTTGATTCCCTGCCGTTGTAGTGTGTTACTGATGGTGACCTTTGTTACTTTGGTCCCAGCTCTCTGCAGGTCATTCACCAGGTCCCCCCGTGTGGTTCTGGGATCTTTGCTCACCGTTCTCATGATCATTTTGACCCCACGGGATGAGATCTTGCGTGGAGCCCCAGATCGAGGGAGATTATCAGTGGTCTTGTATGTCTTCCATTTTCTGATGATTGCTCCCACAGTTGATTTTTTCACACCAAGCTGCTTGCCTATTGTAGATTCACTCTTCCCAGTCTGGTGCAGGTCTACAACACTTTTCCTGGTGTCCTTCGAAAGCTCTTTGGTCTTGGCCATGGCGGAGTTTGGAGTCTGACTGTTTGAGGCTGTGGACAGGTGTCTTTTATACAGATGATGAGTTCAAACAGGTGCCATTCATACAGGTAACGAGTGGGGGACAGAAAAGCTTCTTACAGAAGACGTTACAGGTCTGTGAGAGCCAGAGATTTTCCATGTTTGAGGTGACCAAATACTTATTTGCCACCCTGATTTACGGATAAATTCTTTACAAATCCTACCATGTGAATTCATGGATTTTTTTTCCACATTCTGTCTCTCACAGTTGAAGTGTACCTCTGGTGCAAATTACTGACCTCTGTCATCATTTTAAGTGGGGGAACTTGCACAATCAGTGGCTGACTAAATACTTTTTTTCCCCACTGTAGCTGTGTCGCTAGCGATCACGTAGCACATCATTATATACCAGCTAGCCCAACTTCAGTAACCCTGCAAACGTCGCTGCTGTTTAGTTTCCTGTCTTCATTTATGTTGGAAGTGATAGCAGAGCTGTACGTTTGATTTTTTTCAGAAATCTCTCAGTCAGAACATGCAATATCATGCTTAGGTAACTAGCGAAACTAGCGAGCTAACTTCCGCTAGCTTCCTGCTAACTTCTAACTCCGTTAAATGTAATAACTTTTGTTTTCATGGATGCCTGGAAGTTAAACTTTATAGTTACACCTGGTAAAGCAGCAATGCTGATCGTTTTATTAAAGATGAAAGAATTTAGACAGTTTTTAACTCTAAGTGATGCTGCAGTGTTGTTTGACCTGAAGAGACGGAGTTTAGGACCCAGATTACTCCCAGATTTAAGAGCATCTTAGTCCGACAAATACGACAATAACGACGGCCGCTTGCATGTTCTGCAAAAAAATGTGCTTTGTTGTGTATCTGATGGACAAACACCAAACCAGTTCCACATCACGGAAGTTGCACCATTTTTACAAACCAATTCTGGTTCATCTGTTTCACTCAACAATCGGCCATGTGCGTATGAAAACAAAGGCACTGCGCATGCGCGTTTTACTCCCATTCTATCGCGATATTGCATTTTCCTATCGTTGCCTAACATTATACCGGTATTACCGTGAACGGTATAATATGGCCCAGCCCTAATCTTAAATTTACTCAATTTAATAACAAACATTTCATTGCTTTTCTCTATTGGATGCAGTGTTTTTGGTGAAACCAACAAGCAACGTTGAGCATTGCTCATTAGTAAAGTTGATTACTGCCTAAAATGATAAGTCTGAAATCATCTGAAAGTAAGGAGCAATCATCTTTTCAGAAAATAATTTTTTTGGATGTCACAACTGGACCTTCTGGTCTGAGGAGGTCTGGCGCCATGTGTCCCGTTATTGGTCCAATGAAATTATGCTAGCATCTGTTCGTTAAGGTAATGCAGATGCTCCCCCCCCCCATACCACAGCCTCAAAACCCATCTCTAGGGGAAATGGTTATGCTCACCAAAATAACATTTTCTGTGAATTTATCCCATGTTCATAAGAACAACAGAATAGTAACTCGATTAAACTATCAGTGTCAAGAACAAGACCGTGTAGAAGAAACCTGATGTACAAGTCAACCTCCATATGGAGTTACTGTGAGTGTAATGTATGAATCAAAATGCACAAAATGATTACGTAGGCCTCATAACAGCAAAGACACACAATGCCTGACACTGACACCTTACTGCTATTAAAGTCTGGATATCGCTTTACTGAAATGTTCATTCCTTAGACATCTAGTAGGAAATATAAAACCATCAGCATGAATGCCTTGTGCCATGTTTAAAATCCATTTTGAACACTATTCTAGACCTTTCTGCAACTCATAAATATTGCCAATAAGTTTAACATAGCAAAGTGTTCATTCTTTATGTGTTCCCATCTCTTTCCCTTCATACTCAAGTGAAGCTGCACTTACTCAACTTTAGTTTTTTAACTGTACAAAGTGAATACATTTACCCCACTTACACTTTAAGATAATTCTGATAACATAGAAAACACTCCACTGCACACTCATCTCTGAACTCAAAACAAGAATCTGATCCTCTTTCTGTTATTAAGTCTTTATACTTCAGGGGGGAATCTATGTTGTAGCTATAGCAAAGCCCCTACAAAAACCGACCAACATAACATGCAGCATAACTTAACATGCGCCTCTCCGAAAATGTAACTACATGATAACAATAACTGGCTCTATATAGGGGTTAATAATCATAGTATCAATATAAGGACTCACAAATATTATTCATTCTTATTCACAAATCCTGGGAGCAGATTGCTGAAACTATTGGAATGGAGGTGAGTGAATGTGTTCACATTGAGAGGAAACTGGGTGGACGCAGAAGACCCGCCTAAATAAGGGCCAAAGCTGTTGTCTGTTTTCTGAGACATCTACTAAATGATGCTCAGGATGTTGCAAGAGTCTGTTTTGTGGTCAGGCAGGTCTGACGTTAGGTAGCAATGTGAGTGTGGAGTTGGACTCTAACAGAGGTTTGGGAAATAACGATGCTGCCCAAGTTATTGTCGGTATCGCAGAACTGGCTATTATGCAATAATGCTTACGCTGTGCGGACCGTGCAGCATGTATTTTTTTTTTAGTTTGCTGATTGTTAAAGGTTTTATACTCAGCATCTGCTCTGTGCATAGTGAACACCACGTCGGATTTTAATAATAGCACTTGAGGCACGTCGGGCTCGTTAAACGCATGTTTAAACTGTTGGAGGAGTTTTTGTCGCTGATTTTACGCTGCATTCATTTATTGAATCCTGACGCAAACTTGCTAGCGACTTACATTTCCTTTCACTCTCGACTCCGTCATTTTCCGCATGTTAAGTGAGAAAGGGCGAATGCAAATTTCAGACCTAGCTTTTAAAGGAAGTACAACTTCCACTAGTACTCCCAACTCAGTTTAAAAGTAGTGGTGATTGTAAACCCTTCTAGCCTATGATCCAGATAACTTCCCGCTATTAAAAAAGGCCGGCAGAGAAGATTAGACCGACTTCTTTGCCTTTTGTGTCATTACGACTCCGAGCAGTGTAGCTCTGCGCGCTTCCGCACGGGGCATCCACCATTCTGTAAGGCACACAAAAAGCAATGTAGTCACTAATTAGTGGTTCATCTCCGATATTAGCCATAGGCGGGAATGTTCAACACGCAATTGTTTAGTTTCAGCCACCAAATTATACCACATCAACCGCAAAACGCGCTCGCGCCCTGTTAACACGCAAATGCAACGGTTTTTGTTACCAATGATTAGGAATGATAGCTCTGTTAGCCCCGGCCCGACACACACTCAGTGAAAGAGGAGAGGGGTGAAAAGCGCGTCTTGTCTCGCCTACTTTAAATCTCCAGCTCACACTGTTATGTAAACGAAACACTCAGTCACCATGTAAGAAGAGTCCGCATTAAACTAGTTGCCGGGCGGCTCCACGTGTGCCAACAGAGCTAATGACGACGAACACGCATGATGCTGCAGATGTACATGCTAGCATTAGTGTGCGCGTGAAAGACACGTAGCGACGGTTAACTTCGACTGAAACGACTCCTGTCCGCGTGCCCACCTAGTCTCTACATCTACAAAGGTAGTGAAACCTCTACTGTGAAGTCAGGCAATTTACCTTTTAGCTGAAGCGAGCGGTGACTCAAGGACCGTCCTTGGGATTTCCAGTCACCAACTTGTGCCGCTCCACATTTTAGGCAAGCAACATCTGTAGCTGGCTCCTCCTAGCCAACCTCCCACCATACGTGACCCTATACGTTCAAAAGCAGAAGCCTTTCTGTGAACAGCAGAGAACATTGCATAAGATACTTTAATAAATAACAGAGGAAATAAAGTTCATCGCGTGTCGCTTCTCACCCTATTGTTAGCATTTCGGGTGAGCGATGATTTGATCTGTTTGAAGAGTAGACAGTAAGACAGTTGAAGCTCTGTCAAGCAATGAAAATGGATTTTTTTTCTTTAGATCTGGAGACTGTGGGTGGGTACACTGTAGTCATAAAAGATGGACCAGTAATCATATAGACTGTAGTTTTTTATGTAACGTTTAGTTGATTTTAAAGGGCTCAAAGTGTGCCAGGAAAATACTCCCCACACAGGGGCGGATCTAGAAGGGTGGCATGTGCCACCCTAAAATGATCACTTGCCATCTTGGTTTTGAATATGACAATGTTGTTTATTAAAAAAAGATAGCATTAACACTTTGAGCCTAGCTACAGTTAACCCTGAATATAAATTCTAAAACTGAATATATTGCATAATGTTACCCCCCACCACCACCACCAATATTAACAAATGGTTCAGCCCATAGCACAGAAAATTGTTAATTTAAGCATGTAACAATTTGATTTTTTTTCTAACAAAAAACAGTGAAACTTAAGTTATACTTGTGTCTGTAAATGAACCGCCCCATGTGGTATAGCTTTCTGTGGATTTTGATTGTATAAATATATTCGTTTATTTCTTATAAAGGCTATACAGTGCATAAAATCAAAATGCACATGTTTTATGTAACTGAAATGTTTAATTATGAGGGCTACAGAGAATAATTAAGTTATACATCCATTCGCTTCCGCTTATCCTTTTCAGGGTCACGGGGGTGCTGGCACCTATCCCAGCTGTCATAGGGCGAGAGGCAGGGTACACCCTGGACAGGTCGCCAGTCTGTCACAGGGCCAACACACAGGGACAGACAACCATTCGCACTCACATTCATGTGCACCTAGTGACAATTTGGATTATCCAATTAACCTATCCCCACAAGCTGCATGTCTTTGGACGGTGGGAGGAAGCCGGAGTACCCGGAGGGAACCCACGCAAACACAGGGAGAACATGCAAACTCCACACAGAAAGACCCCGGCCTGATGTTGGAATTGAACTCAGGACCTTCTTGCTGTGCGGCAACAGTGCTAACCATCGTGCCACCGTGCTGTCAAGTTATACAATATTTATATAATATTTATATGAAACGTGTATATTTACTACATTTGAATCATTTTAACCATAATGGGATGGCTTTATTTCGCCACCCCATTTCATTTCCATGCCACCCTAAGAAAATTTCTCTAGATCCGCCCCTGTCCCCACACCATTACACCATTACACCACCAGCACGAGCCTGAACTGTTGAGCCTATCCCTACTATCACAGGGCGAGTGGCAGGGTACACCCTGACAGGTTGAAAGTCTTACACAGGGCAAATGCAGAAACAGACACCCTTTATTTCATGTTATTTACATTCTTCCACTCTTCTGCTGTTCAGTTTTGGTGAGCCCATGGGAATTATACCATCAGTTTCCTGTTCTCAACTGACAGCAGTGGCACCAAGTGTGGTCTTCTGCTGCTGTAGCCCATCTGCTCTTCAGAGAGACTTTTTCACCCAACTGCTGCTCACTGGATATCTTCTCTTTTTGAGACCAAAATAATTGAAATCTTCTTTCTTTCAAATTATGCTGGTCAATTAAAACTTCAGTAGGTCGACCCGTACTGATTTACAGCCATGTGATTGGCTGATCAGATATTTGCATTAATGAACTATTGAACAGGTTTATGTAATAAGTAGTAACTGTACATCAGTAGAATCCCATAAATAATAAAACAACAAATAGAAAGGATGAAGAGGCTCAAACCGTTTACTAGGTTAAAGTTATTTTACTTTAGCCTAGTAAATGGTTTGAGTTGTAAATTGTGAGTGGCGATCGTGGCTAAAGAGTTGGGAGTTCGCCTTGTAATCGGAAGGTTGCTGGTTTGAGCCCCGGCTTGGACAGTCTCGGTCGTTGTGTCCTTGGGCAAGACACTTCACACGTTGCCTACTGGTGGTGGTCAGAGGGCCCGGTGGCGCCAGTGTCCGGCAGCCTCGCCTCTGTCAGTGCGCCTCAGGGTGGCTGTGGCTACAATGTAGCTGCCATCACCAGTGTGTGAATGTGTTTGTGAATGGGTGGATGACTGGATATGTAAAGCGCTTTGGGGTCCTTAGGGACTAGTAAAGCGCTATATAAATACAGGCCATTCATTCCATTCATGCCACCTTATTACAAGCCACAGCTACAAACATTGGTATATTGTTGGGCCTAGTTAAACATTGGCTTTTTACAGAACCTCTCACTACACATGAATAAACAGTGGGCACATAACGACTTTGTAATCTATGCAAGCGCATGCTTTGTGATAAGGACCCTGTACTTTAGGATAGTATGGAAAAAACTTCTAAAGAAATTCTATCTTTGTGCTCAAATTTTTGGAAATAAAATTGAAAAAGAGAAAAGGGAGTGCAATTTCCTGTCTAGTGGAAATAAGGTCAGGCATTCCACCAATCTCTGATAGCTTTCTTTGGAAATGCTACTATAGTGTTAATGTTCTCATCTTTTTCGTCCTTTTGCTGTTCTCTGCCTTCTATTTCTGCAAACACCTTGTATCATGGTTCCTGGGGTTGACACAATTTGCAGACACAGACAGAATATCAATATATCAGAAAATAAATAAATACATAAGATACATTATACACAGTAAAATAAATGAACAAAATGATGAATAAATGATTATTCAAAGAGGAAATATAGACAATAGATTAATGAATGAAAATTCAATAGTAACTAACAATGGACTTACATTTTCTGTTTGCCTGTATTTCTTTTATATATCATATTAGGTGCATTTTCTTGGATATTGGATGATGTTTTTTTGAGTCATTAGTTGAGTGTGCCTATGCGAAGGCACACTTATTACTATTGCTCGGATTTATTATTATTATTATTCTTTTTCCGCCTGAAATTTTGGACCTTAACTCGCCCCACAGTTTTGAGACAAGGTTCACATATGATATATCATTGTGTGCGGCTGGAGCTGGAATGAGTTGCTATGACTTTTGGTGTTTATTACTTCTATAGTTTTTTAAATATGAATATTTTAATGCAAGTTTTTGCCCATTCAAATGAATGGGAACGAACGAAAGTGAAACTTTACTTACTTTGTGGTGTGTTTGCTCACTCACTTAATTTGTGGTGTGTTGGCTCACTCTAGTGGTATGTCCCCGTATTTGGATTACCATAATGACAACAATACGAACGGCGCGCACAGCGTTGGTGCTTTCAGGAACCATTGGAATTCTTAAGGTTGCACGAAGCATTGAATAGTTACGGTAACGGCAATGGTGTACGCTTGGTGGAAAACTGCATATCCCACAATTCAAAGCACGCCTCTACCAGTCAAACAATGGCGGCTGCCACTTGGTTTAATATATTCCTCTTATTTGTGTTTCTAGGTCACAAAGTAAACTTTTAAGATATTTTCAGGTGAGAATGTAGGTGTGTAAACGTCAAATATCTGCTCGTTTTGTCAAAACATCCCATATTAGCAACAGATTTCTCACGATGTTGCTGCTAGCCGGCTAGCTAGTTCGGCCGGCTAGCTAGCTCGGCTAGCTAGCGCCGCTTCGCTCAAAAGCACCCAGGCTTGGCTTTCAGTGAGGCGTCTCTAACTCCTTTCACCCCCGATCGCTCCGCAAACAGTCTTTGTCTTAGCTGGACTTATTTTTCGTTTATATGGGCCGATGATGCTGGTCGATGTGGAAAAAATAACTGAGTTGTTCATATACCGGTGGCTAGCTAGCTCCGCGTTAGCCACCGGTATATGTCTCTTCCCCTCGTATGCGGGGAAAGAAACACCGATCGACCGGTGGTGGCTAACGCGGAGCTCAATCGTGGATAAGGGAAACCCAATGCAGGAGAAGCAGGCGGCTGGTGAACTGAATTTCAGGTAAGACGTTATTAACTGCACTCTATTTGGGTCAGATATAAACCGAGTTTAGGTGTAGTTTATTTTCGTTGTGCTGACAGTTACAATAACTGTACTGCGTGCTAGCTAGCACGACGGAGTTTCTATACAGCTGTGCGCGCTAAGTTACTGATGTTGAACTTTATGACAGCCTCCCCTATTTTCAGGCGAGAATGTAGGGGTGTAAACTTCAAATATCTGCTCGTTTTATCAAGAAGTCCCATATTTTATCAAGAAGTCCCATATCTCTCACGATGTTACTGCTAGCGCCGCATGGCAGCTAGCTGGCTAGGGCGGCTTGGCTGACACCTAGGCCGGGCTGACTGATACCCAGGCCGGCTCACGCTCACGTTTCACCGCCGCATGGCAGCTAGCCGGCTAGCTGGCTAGCGCGGCTTGGCTGCCATCCAGGTCGGGCTTGGCTGCCACCCAGGTCGGGCTTGGCTGACACCCAGGCTGGGCTGGCTGACACCCAGGCCCGCTCACGCTGTCGTGTTATTTTTCATTTATATGGGCTGGTGATTCAGTATGAGTGTCCGGTGAACTGAATGTCAGGTAAGACGTTATGTATATGTAAGGTAGTGACTGGAATAAGTCACAAGGTGTCGCTGTTGAGCTGCATATATGTTGTAAATTTTAGCAATTTTGACCATTTGTCCTCTGCAGGACACCGTAGTTCAGATTTCTCGTTCGCGTGGGCGCCATCTTGGTTCAGTGTTTACTGTGATGTGCAAAGGTAAGCACTGTCAGTGGCGAACTGCATTGGTTTTGTTTAAAAATAAGTGTTCCACTGTGTAAAATAGCGGTTTGTCATTTAAGCCGAGCATATATTTTGTTTATTGAGAGGTTCATGTATTGTCTGATGAGAGTATGAGACAAAGATATACTTTTCTTTCTTACTCTCATATAAAATATTTAGCTTTTATTAAATAGTTATCTGAATCTTACAACCAAAGTTTGTATAATAATACACAAGATTGGCTGTAGACCATTGTTAATCATTCAGAACACTGTGTAAAAATAACAAAAAACAAAAAGTGAATGAAAAGTGCATAAATATTTATTTTACGTGATTGATGTGTGTGGCAGGGCGTGGTCTGCAGTGCCGCTGCAGGGGAGGTGGACCCACCTCAGCGGCATCTGCAATCACGCCTCTCAGGT